TGTCAACAAGATAAGTAATTTGAATGTAAAGGGAAAACACATGGTTTCTTTCGATGTATCATCATTGCTCACGAACGTACCCTTGGAAGAAACACTAGATATAATAGCCAGACACGCTGATAAAGTTGGGTTCCCAGCGCTCCAGCTAAAATCATTACTGCGCCTATGCACAAAAGATATTCAGTTCCGGTTCAATGGCACCCTGTATAGACAAATCGACGGCGTGGCCATGGGCAGCCCATTGGGCCCAGTTTTGGCTGATATCTTCCTCGGAAACTTGGAAAACACTGTGTTAGCTTCTTACCTACAAAATGTACACCTTAATTGCCGGTATGTAGACGACACATTCATCGTCGTTGACACACCTGAACAGGCGGCGCACTTACTGAAATTGATGAATATGTGCAATCCAGCCATCAAGTTCACAATGGAAAACGAGTCCGACGGATCTTTCCACTTCCTAGATGTTAACTTACAGAGAAAGCCAGATGGTACACTCGTTCGATCTGTGTACAGAAAAGCAACACGGACGGGGCAATACTTGAACTTTAATAGCTTTTGCCCAGTGAACTATAAACGAGCTCTAGTACGTACCACTTTTGCTAGAGCTCGCCAAATTTGCTCATTAGACACAATCGAACATGAACTAGAACGCTCACATCCACGACGCAATTAGGGCACACGTCCCCACAGTGCGCGCTTATGCGCCGAAACGCCACAGGCAACTTCAGCCTGCTACGCTTAGGCTGATCAGGGAGAAGAAAGCCCTCTGGGACAGATTCTTACTTTTTGGCGACTCTGATTCGCGAGCACAATACTGTAGAGTGCGAAATTCCTGTATAGCAGCTGTTCGCCAGGACAGAAAAGCGTACCAGCTCTCTCTCGCTAAAAGCTTCACCGATAACCCCAAGATCTTCTTTAAGCATATAGCGTCTCTCACTAAATCGCGCGCTGCCGTTGGCAGCCTGCTCGGACCCGTAGGCCATACCACAACGTCGGACAAAGAAGCTGCGGAATTGCTGAAGATTCAGTACGAGTCCGTTTTCGGCACCTTCGCAAGCAGTACAACGGAAGGCGCTAACTTTACTAACTTTACCCCCGTCACTGCCAGACATCCCGTGCAGTTTACATCAGAGAAAGTCCTGGAGAAATTAAAAAAATTAAGGACAGACAAATCACCGGGTTTGGATGGGATCCCTCCCATTTTTCTACGTGAGTGCGCCACTGTACTGGCCGAGCCGCTTGCCTTACTGTACAGCCGCTCCTACACCAGTGCCGAATACCCGAACGCTTGGAAGCAAGGGGTCATAACGCCGATATACAAGGGTGGTGACAGGACAAACCCCTCTAATTACCGCCCGATAGCACTGCTTTCCACTGCCTCCAAAGTAATGGAGAGTATCGTAGACGATTTCTTGCGCAGCCATTTAGAAAGTCTGTCCTTAATGGCCCCGGAACAGCACGGGTTCCGCAGGGCTCACTCGTGCACCACGAATCTTCTCGCAGCCCCTGATTCCTGGACTGCAGAGGCAGACAATCATACTCCAACTGACGTGGTTTACGTGGATTTCTCAAAAGCATTCGACCGGGTCAATCACGCACTGCTGTTGAGTAAACTGCCGAGTTTGGGGATCGACCAGCAAACAATCTGCTGGCTAAGTACCTACCTGTCTGGCCGCACCTACCGAGTTCGTGTAAACGGCGCACTCTCCAGCGCTCTGGCTGCAACGACCGGGGTGCCCCAGGGATCCATCCTCGGGCCCCTGCTGTTCAATTTGTTCATCAACGACCTCCCATCCTGTATCAGCAGCCACATACTGCTTTATGCGGACGACGCCAAGATATGGCGACCTATCCGCAGGCCAAGTGATCAGGCACTTCTCCAGACAGACATCGATGCTGCTTATTCTTGGGCCTCGAAAAATTCGCTCCCGTTTAACATCGACAAGTGCAAAGTCATGCACATTGGGCAAGGTTTGGCTAATCCGTACAATATCGGCGGTGTGCATCTTAAAGCCACATCCCAGGAACGCGACCTGGGGACCATAATATCCGCCGACCTGAGCCCGAGCGCCAATGTAGCTACACTGGCGCGAAAGGCTAACGTTCGCCTGGCCCTCCTTGGACGTGCACTAGGGTCTTTCCCTAGAGAGACATTTGTCCGTCTCTATAGCACTTTAGTACGTCCGCTGCTGGAGTACAACATACTTGTCCAGCCGCCGTACCTGAAGAAGGATGAGGCCATGCTGGAAACTGTACAGCGCAGAGCCACTAAGAGAGTGGACGGACTATCCCACTTCTCGTATGAGGAGCGTCTGGCGGCCCTTAACCTCTTCCCGTTGAAATATCGCAGGCTTCGTGGCGACCTTATCTTAGCTTATTCCGTCCTGACTAATAACAGACACCCAAACGCAGGATTGCTGGTCCGCGCCCGTACAGATCATCTTCGAGGGCACTCACTCAAACTGATGACTCGTAGCAGTCGCCTTCTGTGCCGAAGAAACAGTTTCAGTGTGCGAACTGCCTTCGCTTGGAACGCCCTCCCCGAAGCTGTTGTCTCAGCGCCCAATACGGAGGCCTTCAAACAGCGCCTAGACGCTTGGCTCTTACCTCGCTGGTCTTCAACGTTGCTAAGATCTGGCCATTTTCCAAGCTAACACGCGGCGCTTCCATCATTTTGCTTCTACCCAACTTTGCCGAATTTACCTACACCACTCTCTTGTTCCAGGTATCCACGTTCTCACAGTCAACTCGCTGAATTCTTGTGCTGAACACCACTACTGCGTCGAGAACCACAACATCTGGTACCTACCGACGAGATCAGGACCTTGCCGTAAGATCCCGAGGCAGAACCACCGAAAAGCTACGCTTACTCGTTCTGCGCAAACCCGTGAAACCCGTGAAACCAGTGAGTCACCTTGACGGTACAAGAGAATGGGTATCCAGCGCGATTTATAACTCGGCACGCGAAAGTACGATCCGGAGATAAACCACCAACCGATGTCCCAAAGAAAAAAGTATTCATTACACTGCCCTTCAAAGGAGATCAAGTTGACCGAAGATGCAGGCATCGCCTCCGTCAATCGATTAAGAAGTGTTACCATGCGGCTGAGCTAGTGGTATTGCATCAAGTCAGAAGGCTGCTCTCTAAATCCAATCTGGACAGACCAGACTCTCAAGTTACCGCCTCTTGCATTTACCTCCTTAATTGTACTTGCGGTAGCAAGTACGTAAGCCGAACTGAGAGAAGGCTGTCAGCGAGAATTGCAGGGCATGTTCCGCGAAACATGATTGCTAAGGGTCCGAAGCTACCAACTAGCTCTATTGCCCGCCACATACTAGACTGCCCTGAATGCCAGAACCCACGTGGCAATTTCAGGGTAGTTAGCAAACAGGCTAATCCCCATTTACTACAGTTTGCGGAGGCGGCAGCAATTCGGCGGCTGAAGCCAAAGCTATGCAAGCAAACGGATTTCGTGACCACGCCAGCCCTACCCTGGTGAGGCTAGCGATTGCGTTTTCCTCGGAACAGGTCACGTGAGCCTAAAGACCTTCGACCGCTTTGAATTTCTGCTGTTAACATCGCACTGTTTTCCACTCCTTGTATGTAAACAGCTGAGGAGAATACGCGAAATTACTGAATTCAGTAAATTCTGTTATAATGTTGTTTCTTCTTGCTTTATTGAAATTCGTGAAGGGAAATGCCTGCATGAAACTTGCTGAAATTGTCAGCAGTGCCCATTTCATCTGGCCCCTGTGGAGCTAAATCCTACAACCCGACTGGTACCAGTTTGTGGTTAAGATAAAACGTGGCAAAGGCGGCGGGTGATAATGTTTGAAAGTATCCAAGTCGAATGAAGTCATGGAAGAGCAGTCGTAAAATCCATTGGTGCGAGAATTGTAAACACAGGCTAGGACCGGAAAATCGAGTTAGTGAGGTCTTACAGAGACTGCTTGAGCTGGGATGCAGAGCGTCACAAATCACTGGAGGGTCATTTTGTAGTGCACGTGGTGTGGATGGGTTGCGACGCACAATCTCAATGTGGAGCACGATTGCTATTGAACATACTGAACCTTGTTCCTTCGATCAGTAGAACCGCAGCTGAGACAGGTGGAAATTGGGTGAAGTATTTTTGAGCGGACAACATCCAATTCCCATCCGTCACAAACCATCTTACAGTAGTGATGTACCCATACGGCAGGCATCGAAAATTTTAAAAAACGAGCAACAGAGTCAGAAGTGAAATAAGATCAAAACACGGTTCCTCGACTGTGTCGGCCGCAACTTAAGGCAAAGCGTCAATATTCCTATAAAAAGTTTTGTTGTGGTTCCTGAGATGGTGGCACCGAGATCAGGTACGAGAATGGACATGGGTATGCCAACAGATTCCGTCCTCTGGTTTCCTATATGTGCGCCAATCGATTGCTAATCCACGCATCAACGGTTGGAGGGAGCTGAATAGGACTTCCTCTCAGGACTAAGTCATGAGAGGCCATAGGTGATGCGCTGCAGGATGGGTCGAAAAATAAGTTGTATACACAGGCCGAATACGAAACGTCTATGAGATTAGAGTAATTTCACGCATTCAACAGTAACAATCGTGTCGATCTTAGTCACAGACTGGTGGCCGTCGAGTTGCTGATCTAGATGAAATGTGCACTGCTAACAGTTCCCGAAAGGACGAAACGGCAGTACAGTGCTTTTCTGAGCGTGTGACAGCTGGCTGACTGAGCCTACGTGTGATGAATTTTTACGCTTGCTAACTTATAATAGTTCAGAACAAAGCCAACAGTAGCATGCGCGATCGATTGATGGCCAATTGATGCACCTCGCGTGATCACTGCAAGTTTGGGGTCACTGTTAGTTCATTCAGAACAAGGTAATGCAACTCTGAGTGTGATTGTGCACGAAGGCAGATTGGAAGTAACCCGGTGACTTGCCAACTGATTCACTCGATTCAACCAGTAATGTCCCCGGTTGTTTGCACAACTGTCTGGAGGAGTGCCGCTAATTCTGTCACGACAAGGATTCAGCCATCACGCCAACAGCTGTGAGTGATTTCGCACAAAAGGTGAGAAGTGGGCCGTTTGATTGTCCGTGTCTATAGTGAACTCGTAGCTAAGGGTCACATTGGCATAGAAAACCGCAGTTAAGCTGACTATATATGTTTTTTAAACGCTCATCGCAGTCCCCTAGTGATGATTAGTTCTCTTGGGACTGTTAACGTTGGATCTCGCGTCGTCGTTCCTTTAAGGTGCTTTGCGAATCGCAGCGCGTAGTCAGGGGGTTGCAGTGGGCTAAAGTGAAGGTATGCTGTAACGCAGGCTCTTAAAATGCAACTACAGATTCATTGAGTCATCTGTCCAGTGAACTGACCATTCGGAAGAACCATACAGGTGCAGCATTGGCAGTACGCCTGGGTATAGAAGGCACGGAATGAAACATGTTCGTCCAAATAGGCGATAATTATCAGCGGATCTATCTCTAAGGTGAACCCCAACGGATGTACGGGGCTAAGCGATATTCGAAACTCTCTGAGAGGAAAGTCTATCCTTGAGACAGTGCACAGACGTCTGCATTAGCGGAAAGAAGAGGGTATTTCAACACAGCATCTGAGTTCAGACGAGCTATACATGTCCAGGGTCGAAAATCGCAAGTCAAAAATGGCATCAGCACGGGAATGTACCCGCTTGTTCCCTGTGAGGTGCTCCGCCGGGAAGGCATATTACCCCGCACCATTGATACATCAAGACTAGTTTAGTAAATTGTAAAAATCAGCGGGAGGCGCATCGGAATGGAAACCGTAGAGGGCAAGGAGTGTTGGGAGAAGACGACCAGTTCGAATCACGTTGGCTGTGCGAAGTGAGGTGAAGAACCTCAAACCGAAGAATGGGACACAACGTCCCCTCAATATTCCTGGTGGAGCCAGAAGGACCCCTGTCCACCATGGGTGTATTGCTCTAACCGTGATCGTTTCATTTATTTGTGCCGAGGTAATATAGCTAACAGTGAATACTATCAATGTCTTAAAGTAGAAACGTGAAGGACTAGAAGATTACCGGAGCACTTATGCCTGAACTATTTCACTGAGCTAGTGACATGCAGCTAGAAAGTTGACTATTATTCTATGTGGAGACTATTTTGAAGAGTGAGAACGTCGGTTGCGTTTGGAAACTTTAGACAACGTCTAAGAGTAGAATGACTGTTTGAGTTAGGTGACGCGCTGAGTGAAAACATGGAGCAGACGTCAAGTACCTGCAGCGGGGATCATTGTATAAAAGTATAGAGTCCCGTCCCCAGTGGCCACGAACAAGTAAGCAGTGTCCTCTAACTGAGCCATGAGAAGGGATCGCGGTAAAAGAGCGGAACCGGTGGACACGGCTGTTTCTGGGAGCGGCTCCTCGTGGATCACGTCCAACTTGGGCAGACTAAGGATGAAAAGACCGTGACCGAGCCATAGGCCTACTGCAACCATATGCGGGACGGAGTAGTCGACCGGTGTGTCCCCTGAGGGAGCAGCCGGAGTCTGCCCGTAGGTAGATGCAGCCCTCGCATGATCAAATGGTGACAGATCGATGCAAGCGACTTCTTGAGACATTGACCGATGTCTGATACAAGGAAAAGAAATGGGCACACAGTAAGAGAGGAGAATGTGAAGCAAGAACACGAAAAGTGGTGAGAATTACGAATGCTCGTTTACACAAGAAACTATTGATACGCAAACTAGGTGTCCGGAACAGGATCGGCTCCACCCGTGCGTACTAAGAGCCGCGTGCTAAGCATTTCTCTGGGTTTCTGGTGGAGTGAATAGTTGAAGAAAATTATGCCGTGAAACATTATCTGGGTTTGAAGGTTTAACTTAATCAACTGTGTTCGTTGACGTGCGCTACACCAAAGGTTTTCAAACGTATATTCTCTTCCCCAGCGATTACACTATATTCCCGTCATTTTCCCTGGACTTCTCCAAAGGGAGTATACTCTTTTTGTGCGTTCAGATACATTTATTTCACAATCCTTTGCATAGAATCCCTCGTTAATTTTATTAGTAGCAAGCATTCTGATGCATGCTGTAAACTTTCATCGTCTTTCGGACCTCAATTAGGGAACCGAGAGGAACCAACCGAAACCAACTTCGAACTAAGGTACTTCAACCCACCTGACAATGTTGTCGGTTGGCCTCTCTTCCCATTCGTCCCTTCACACACACCCCCGGCGCGGAAGTCGTTGCACTGGCACACGCAGCACGTGACGCAGTCATCGAAGTCTGGCTCGTGAAATAACGATGCTGACCGGTGTATTTCCTCTTCCTGTGTCATAAACAAGGTTCCGAACACGCCCACTGATCACGCGTTCCCCACCAGATATGAGCCAAACTGCGAATGTATAGTTGGTCGAACGTAACTGGCCTCTTTAAGTTAGCCGATCAGATGAACCAGCTTTCATAACCGTACAGTATGGTCGAACGTACGGCAACATTGTACACTCTATCCCTCAGAGAGAGAGTGTGTGATGTCGCACCAGTACCATAGGTGCTGAAGGTTAGCAAAAGCACCTCGAGTTATTGCTATACGGTTAGTAACCTCGTCTTTGATTCCACAAGCGCTGATACAACTGTCCAGGTAGTTGAGTTTTGTAGGACTTCTAGCTGATCCCCACCAAGAGTCAGCGAAGGAGGCGGTCCCTGCCAATATTGGAATAAAGCTTCGTAGTTCGAGGGTGCAAAGCGAAGCCCGAAAAGACTGATAGCCAATGCTAATCTGTGCAGTGCTGCTTGGCACGTTTGCGTGCGGTCACAGATGGGGGCAATATCATCAGCATACTTCAAGTCAAGTAGTCGTTCGCCTGGGAGGAGCTCCACACCTAAGTCGTGTCCTGCGAACGCGATCTGCATGACTTCGTCAATAGCGAAGTTGAATAAGAAAGATGACAGCGGGCATCCCTGTTTTACGCCATTGGAGAGATTGAAGGACGGCCACAGTTTGCCCTCACTCTGTCCGGACCACGAATGTAAAGCGCTCGGATAGCATTTTCATATTTTTCGGGCACAAAGACTTATCGATCCACCGAATCCAAGGCACGTTTGATGTTAAGGAACACGACAACGTTGTGTAGCCAATATACGTGCCGCAGCTTCAACAACAGATCGATGCAGCCCCGACCTCGAGGAAACTCAGCTTTCTCCTTACGAACCTGCCTTTCACAAGTGTTAGTCAGTTTATGAAGGATTACAGAAGCAAAACGTTAGGAGGCGATGGAGAACAGACTGATTCCTCTATAGTTATCGAATTCCGAACATAAGTTTCCCTTGAAGACCGGGACAATAACACATCGACTGCAATCGGTTGGGACAGTTTCCTGCTCCCACAGTTGCACTGATAACTTGTGCAAATCATCCATAAAACAGGTCCTCCGAATTTGAAGGGGGCTGGAGGAAGATCATCTGCTCCCGCGACCTTGTTCAACCTCAGCAGTTTGATCTCAGATTTAATTTCTGAGACGGAGAGTGGATCCAAAGGGACAGTCCACGGAGCAGGAGGATCAGAGGCCGGCGAGAAATGCGACAATTCCGGCCGATTAAATTGCTTTTCAAGATGCTCAGCCCAACGCTCCAAGCGTTTTGCCAAGTTATGCAAAGGCTATCCCCTCTCGTCACATATAGTTTCATTAACACCAGGTCTCCTGCTGCCCGTTTCCCGTATCAGCCTGGATAACTTACGATGGTTACCAAGGACGATGCACGATGAGACCACCAAGATTCGCTGTCTCTCTTCAGGCTAGTACGAGTTTTGCTCTGAGGTCATTGCGAATATCGCTGTATTCGCTTACAGCCGGAAGGTGTCGGCGGACATCGATAAGGTCCAGAGTGCGTCGAAACCCAATGTCCAGGTTGGCGATTTGAATTGCCACATGAGGATTTGCCGGCTGCCGATATGGTCTAGTGAACATGCGATCAGTGACCTTTAACCCACATGCCAGCGTACTTCGATACGCATTCAGAACATCTGGCTTCGCCAGTTGGCAGATGTCTATGCACTCACAGCATCGTCGCGAGCGTCCGCCAAAACGCAGCCGAAGATCACTACACACTAGTGCACGGTTAGTACCCACACATGTGCTCCAGATCGAGCGACAGTTCTGAACGCATCCTCTGCAGACCACACTGTTCTCGTCACTACGTTTGCTATCTCTTCCACGCGGTCTAAATGAAATGTTTTGTATTCCCCATAGTGTGCCACCTGTCTCGCTTGTTAGGCGATTCCAAAGTAATGACGCATCAAGCTAGAGACCATTTGAATGATTGAAAGTGAGCTCTTTAGTTTTAGGTATAGGTAGAAAATTGTCACATCTTGTTGTTTTCTTCGTCGCTTCGCATTATTTGCCCACGGATTCTAGGTTGTAGTATATCCGTAGTGTCAGCGTGAACTGCTGAAGATGCTCCCACACGGGTGTATAAAGCCTATCGTGAATTGATTTTCTGGATGTGGGAATAGACGCAGTTGAATTGTAAAAGTTGTCAACGTTGGCAAGAATTCAACATGTTCCGCCAATGGTGGATCGTGTCTCGAATCACCAGTAAATGTTACATTTATTAAATGAGGATCACTTCAAGTTGGTGATAATAAAAATTCCAGAAATCGAGACCAATCGTAAAGTAATAAATAACAAAAGTGGAGGAAGGGTAAACGAATAAACGCCAAGGTGGAAAGAGCAGAGAGGTAAAGATTCAAATCATCAAGGGTAAAAAGAAGGACCCTATACTATGGTAACATTGGAGTGGTTAAACTGAAGAACGTGAAGATATCCCTGCAGTTAGAGTTATAGTCGTCGTCGTCGGCCAATTCCCTACTGATAAGTTTGGGTGTTGAAGGTGTAGTTTTTTCGCGAATACTATGCCTGTCGGCAAAATTTCAACAGGGGAAGAGGGCTCGAGAAAATTTGCAGAAATCCAAACAGCAGTTCCTGAGATGAGTCCTCGAGATTACAAATGTGTGTGAGATATACATCGTAGCATCAACAACGCAGGTATCCGTTTATTAGGATCAAAGGAAGTCCACAGCACGAAAAAGCTACCATACGGCGGTACTCCTAGGGGGTTTAGGTAGTGTTAGTCAACAAATGATTTGGACAACAAGCGCAGATCGGATTAGCAGTCCTCAGAACGACAGGACAACAGCAACAGTGGAAGCAGGATGGAATGGGTATCGTATCACTCCAAAGCTTGAGCCCATAAACTGCGAGTCAAGCTACTAAAAAAGCAAGCTGAAAAACCGGAGGCAACTAGGGACTAGCTCACTAAAAGACACGGCCTCGCCTCATGTCGTGATTTCAAATCCGATAGAAAAAAATGCTATTCTCAACAAAATAAGCACTTGGTGTACACACCCATACGTGCACACCTGTGATTAAAGAGGACGATGTAGTTCCATGTATTGCAACGATAGGTGAAAAAGCGACAAAACCACGAAGGACGTCGCACGAACCACAAGTGAAAAGCTGAAATTACCGTACAGAACCTTGAGAATCCTAAGAACGAAATGGTATCTAAGTGGAAGCTCGCATCGGAAAAACAACACCCTACCAAATCGGAGCTAGACGTACGCAAGCTGTTGAAACACAGGTTGGTCGGGAGGACCCGTGATTTGAAGTGCGTACAGCTCGGCTCCACTGGCGACAATAATGAGAGCACCAAAAGAATTTAAGCAAGAAATGCCACGGCCAGTTGGAGGTCGCCATTCTGCCAGACACCCTTTGCCGTTCAAGTTTTGAATGCCCACCAACCGAATGACGGAAGTGGTGGCCTGTGCCAAAATGCAGTGTTGTGTATCCTTCTGGTTGGGATTCGACAGACCATCGGTGACGGGGCACAATGTCGTACAGTACACCGTTTGCTCGTCGTTTTTGAATCCGGCCAATTGTAGAGCCGATATATCATCGCCCGTCAATCGGAGAAGCCTGTGTGAAATAGCAGAGCAGTAGTGAAGAGATTAATGATGCAACATGCATTATGGTGAAACACATATCTAGTAGGCTGAAGAAGGTGCTCAAACTGCCCAAATCGCATGCGACAAAGGTTCCGAGTTCCGGTCACAGTCCTGCTGAGTGTAAAAGTGTACAAACCCGGTTCTGAAGTGCAGTGCACTGCGTGAAAGCATGGGAATATCTTTTGGTTTCCACGTTCACTTAATTAGATTGCATTGTAGCACAATAGCTATTCACATGCAGCTACTGCATAAAATGATGATGAGGATGCCTGCGAACAAAATATCTTGCCTCGGGAGGAATCGCAGAATCTAACAAAGTGTATACATGATTGAGTTTGGAAACCGCACTCAGTATGCCCCCTCTATGAACCACCACAACAAAAAAGATCAAGTAAGCTGGAAAAAAGAATTCGGGAACATAGTAACAACGAAATGTAACAAGCGTTCGGATGGATGTAGAAATGCAAGTCAAACCGTCCTCCATCAAGCAAAAGAGCCAGAATAGCAATCACTAAGAGTCAGCGGAGGAACTCAAAGTACACTATAAACGAGATACCAATTCAAACGACAAACTTGTTGCTACAACGTCCAATTGTTTGCAACCAGTTCAGTGCTATTTGTGAAGCCCAACCCTAATTATACAATTATGCTCCTACAATCCCACTTACCTTCTGGAAACTGTTTCCGACTATTCCAAGCGGGATGGAATGGATATATTTCTGAGTTAAGCGAGTCTACTCAATCTGGGCACCTACACACAATCACTACCATTTATCAGTATACTGTCCGACTGGCTGATAAACACTATTTAACGTTCATCGGAAACTCTGTAATTAACTGATCACGCATGTTCACGTGTGTCTCATGTATTGTAAAAATAAATTAGTTATTTATTTAAAAGGAACCCGCAGAAGAGATGAATGTCCGATGCAAAGACGGGTACATTTGAAAGTCTCAGCAAAATATGGTTGATCTCAAGCTGGCTGATACTGCTTGCTGAATGCACGCATTCAGACGGGAAAGGGTACCACCGTGAACATGCTTCAAGTGAAACTATAATTCTCGGACAGCGACCTGCGACGCGTTGTCATTAGTAGATCCACAAAGACAGTAACTAAGTGACCGTTCCCAAAACTGAGAACGTTCTACTTAAAGACTTTTGTGATACACAGGATCAGCGATGAAGTCGAATAACCCGTGAGAGATGAATAGATCGTATTGAAAGTCAACGATAATCTGTGTCGAAGAGTGATGAATTTAGAGATGGAGATGTTTCGGTGTTCCTGAGCAATGGAGTTAGTTGGCTTGACAAATGTCGCCAAGATATTAAAGATGGTAATAACACTTAGATAAATAATATTTGATAAGGTGTCCAACCGCCGAATCGTTAGAGACGCGTAACGAGAAGAGAAAGGATCGAACGTCAAGAGACCACTGACCATTTTACTCTGTGAGTGCTATCGAGGAAAACGAGTAAGTACAAACCCAATAATCAATAATCTCAACAGGTCGTATGCCATCTGAATTAGCGGCTTGTAAAGGATGTCGTAGCTAGGGAAGCCAATCTTGTTCTCTGCATGTTCACAATACGCATGACAGTGGAGGATGAGCCGCGCTATGTCCCAGTTGGATTTCAGTCATGTCGCTCCGCCCTCGTCACCAGTGGATCAATAGGATAAGCCATTGACATGTAGGATAAAGGTCATGGGTTCGGCGGATGTACGCTACTGACGAATCCCAATGAGACGAAACGGCCGACTGGCATGTTCTCGGTTGTCTGAGTCTAGATGCGAGACGCTTGATCTATAAAATAATCCAAGCTGTACAACAGCGTGCAGATAGAGCCAAAATGTACTTCAGAATACCTACCCCCTATCTTCATGGAGCCGAACGAAATTGTACTGATGATGCTGTGAGACGATGTAAAGTTTGTTCGAAGTAAAAATGCCCGTGGAAGCCAGATAGTACAGGCTACGGAGATAACCATGTGACCAGAATACCGGCTACTCGATCGATTATATCCACAAGAATTCGGGCCGGGTCAGATTTGTAAGCTTCATTGGGCGTCCAACCTTGACCTCTGAGGATGGTTATTCAACTCACGAACACCAAGGAGCACTAGGCGTTATCGATTAGTGAAATTGCTATACGAAACGCTGTGCAAGTGAATCGAAAGTCTCCATAATAATAGTGCACGACGGCAATTACTCGACAGTCACAAAAAGTATACGATTTGGAAGATCATTAACAGAAAAGGGTAGAAAAAGAACGCCCTGGAAAACGTGAAGCGGCCAATATGCCGCTGCAGCCGCAGGGCTTAGGTGTCAAAAAATAAAGTTTACTTATAATATGTGAAGAGAATTTGCAAGATAGAGAAAGCTTGACAAATTCACTCCACACTCCATCCTAGTCAACGGGGTTGGGTTAATTCGTTATGATCCGGTTAACAAAGTGTCATGCATCCAACTGCCATAACTATCACTCTCATTTCAGCCGTAGAAGGGAACTTACAAATCCGCATGTATCTGTGAACAAAACGATTCGCCCAATTCTGGAAAATTGTAATCGGTGCGTCGAAAAAGTACTGCACTGTTCAGTTCAGTGGTGCGGTGGATCCAGTTGTCACGACTCACGTCGAAAGATTAATGATAAATAAAAGCGATAGGAAAATGAGCTTGAAATCAGACAGGGTGGAAAGAAAATGGAATCAAGAAAGAACTGCGCTAAACTAATCCGGAAGGAAAAGTAACGACTAGGTGGAAGAAACCGAATGCGGGAATGCCACTGACTGCGCGACAGCCCCATGTCTGATAGATTGGTGTCCGCCATCTGGTATACCGTATCCAAGCAGACGGCATGCACCAGCCTGACTAAGTCTGTCAGTTAATTCCTTCGTGCCATGGATTGGTCATTTCGAACTTTTGCCCAATTTGATGCAGCCATGGCGTACGATGTACATCGAGGGGGTCGGTCAACAGGTATACGAAGGACATGAGGTTGCCGACGTAAACGAATAAAATTCAGCCAACACTCAAGTGAGGCACCAGAAGCCCTCTTGACAAAAATCAAGTGGCGAACTTCGAGATTGCTCGCCTGATGTTTCCACCAGACGTGAACAATACTCCGCAAACACCGGTGGTCAAACACGGCCAAGCGTTTAATGTCTTTAACGCGAATAGTTTAGATCTCTGTGCCATACAGTAACCGGCAACCCTACATTTCAATGACAGGCTGATATCCCGCCGCCTTCATGGATGGCTGAGTCTGGAAAGCCACGAAGGTCTTGCTAATACGCGAAGTAATCTTCTCAGTGATGTGACCACCAGAGGTGACAGCTACCAAGGTAAGTGAACCGATCCATCAGTTCATGTGGCTGTTCGATGATAATCAGAACCGGTGTATCGGTCCAGTCTTGCAACAATACTCTGCACTCTGAAGGTGTGAAGCACATGCCAAAGCGTGCAGAACAACGCGTCAGTCTGTCTGACCGTGATCGCATAGCCGGTGCATCCGGTCCAAGGTGAACTATATCGTCCGAAACGAACACGCTCGGCCAAAGCGAAGTTGCAAGTAGAGAAGAAGGTAAGTAAGGTTGACCAGTCGCAAACGCAGCCAGCTTACGGTTAAATTACGAAAATGAGATTAGAGAGAGATAATGCCAGATTAGCCAGAGTGAATCAAGTGTAGTTTCAGTGGGTCACCAGACCGAAGTAAGTATAATTAAAAGATACACATATTAACAAGTTGCATAAAGTCAAAGAGGAAAAGATGGTAAAACGGAGTGATGCATAGAAAGTTTGAGTTTGTAATGTGGAGCCGGGGTCAGTTGATTTTAATGAAAACCAGTAAAAAAAATACAAAACGTACGCAATAGCACAAACTCACTGAGTCTGTCCCATCATTGAGACGACGATTGCATCGTCAAACTCAGCAGATTCCAATGAGAAGCACCAAGTGCCTGATTGTAAGGAAAAATGACAGATAAAAAGCACTCGGAAGATTGAAAACGTTAAGAAAAGCATTGAATTTCATATAAAGTACAGCTCTTAGACATTAACAACAGCCTTTCCGGGAGAGAAACGCCAGAGGCACCACGTTTTATCAAAGCTAAACTGCACTAGATTCGTTGTGGTAGCATTCTGAGAGGTAAGTTGTCGGCGTGAGATCCGCGACCTGGATAGACGGTCAACGGAATGCAGACGCGGAAAAGTTAGGTGCTATCCAAAAGGAGGAGAAACTGCTCTTAAGCCAAGAGAAAAGAGCAGAGAAAAATGCGATCCGGGTGTATTTATGGAACCGACCAGCACACGAGTTTAAGGACTTACAGATGAAATGGAATGAAAGTAGATAAAAACGAGAAGCAACAGTGAATGGGAATGGAAAAGATAAACAAAAGAAAGAAATATAAGGGTTTTCGTACGCCGCGGGGTTTTGGATGACAACGTAGACTCACCTTTGATAAAATCCTGATCTATGGTGGCGTGTTCATGAATACCGATTCCGTTGCGAATGATACGCAGCGTGCCTTCTTTGAAAGCACCGGAACAAGTGATCAGTTGATTCTGACCCTTGGTCTCAAGCAGAACCATGTCCACCGTGGGCCCGATATTGGTGTAACTTTCCAACACAGTAATGTAGCTGTTGCGCTCAGGATCCGGATCAGGATTCAAACGAATTAGTTGTGAATCACCCAGTGTGGAACCGATGAAGACCACGCCGTTGTCCAGATAAGATATAGATTCCGGAATGGTGGTTTCGCCTGTGTAGAGTAATAAGAAAACGATCTAAATCATGGATGTGATGGTGGTGGTAGATTAATAGAATGAGTTGGCTCCCGAACGCGGTGTGTGCATGCATACAGCACGACAGCAGCGTACTTAGGGTCCAAATGATGAAAAATGTCTCGGTCATCAGATTAGGAAAGGGGAAAAACATCGGGTTTAATAATGAATTTGCAGTTCCTAAGGGCGAGACTCATATAAAAATAATGATAGGAAATACAGTCGTAGTGTGTATGTAAAACTGATGGCATTATAATTTTGAGGTTGCTTTTGTTACCTCTGGGTTGAAAGCTATATCGGATGCCCAAGAAGTGCACATGAAAAGTTCAATCCGTTAGGAAGTGCTGTTGATCTAGCTGACGTAAGCACTGCGTACTGTGGCACGCGCACCGAGCATATGATGTAATGAATATCATTGCATAATGATGCAGTACATTGTCGATTATTAAGGACGAAAAACAGCTGAGTATGGCATCTGATCGACCCATTTGTGTAGAAAGTCGTATCACTTCCAGAGAAAATAACACAGAAGAGGTTATTGAGGATTTTGACGACTTTGTTGACTTGGCTAGAAACCGACCCTAGTGGCGTTGTCCCACTGCCTCCCGCTTAGCTTCCCCCTCAGACCACGATCTCATTTTTTAGGTATAATATAACATTTTTGCAGCACAATAGCTGGCTAGTAACACTTCGAAACGATGCTCATCCGTTACTAGTGGCTCAGCTAGTGTGCCACCGTCGCATGTTTTTCTTCTTATGAATTGTGGCCCAATAGCTGAGGTGTTTTCTACTTACAGCAAACGTATAATGATGACGATGATGATTGATAAGCACTGTAGGGCATTATGAAGCGTTGCTCACCTCGGCTTGGTTCAGTATAAGTTCAGCTTGCCAACTTTGATCCGTGCAATGAGGTGCGGCGGATCACGTGGCCGAGAAAATAGCGAAACAGTAAATTCGAGGGAGATAAAGAAGAATAAAAAGTCAGATGGAACAGTCAATGGACATAGCGAACGAATGCAAGAGCGCCACTGCTGACTCTGTAGCCACGGCATATCCGCGTTAAGATGCTCAACTATACTGAAAGGGCCAATCTTCAGGTTCTCAACCTGAAAACCGACAAGAACCAATGCAACGCAATCTCTCAGTGAGTCTCTTCATGAGGTCCTGTCATGTCATTGATTCGGGGTCTAACTCAACCGGGGGTAGCATTGGCAAATAATACAACATGCCAAGGCTTGCAGACAAGTCAGTCATCAGCAGTACATCGATAAGCAGTGCAGACACTTCGCTGCCGCGCAAACATCAATAGTCACACATGGGCTAAGGATACTGCGAGGGTCGCCGTGCTTTTACGTAGGCTCGAACCCGCGCTCTCGAATTATAAGGCAGGCTTGTGATCCTTAGGGCTATGGGCCGGCTCGCAGACAAGCGGAGTATGTGGAGCCAGGGAAGACTATTCGGATGCAACAGATAGTTTTATAAAACATGGTGGGTCTGATGCAATGCACAAAACGACGGAAGTGAGCAGCCTTAACTCAGTAGTCCAATCCTAACTGGGTGTTTCTTGGCATCTTCAAACTTAGTGGCCAAAGACCCTTCCATTAACTGACACACACGTTCTGTTGATTCCAGATGTGACTAAGACTTTGAAAAGTCACGAATCCTAGTAATGCGTTCAGTCTCTTCAGTTGTAGAACCGCCGGAGGTGATACAGATATCTAGCTGTGAACCGATTGATCACCACCTCGGGCGGTTGCTCAGTCATAGTAGCGTTGGGTAGTGCCGAGCGATCCCAATCCAGAAACAACAGTCTGTGTTTCAAAGTTGTACAGCAAATTCCAAAGTGTTCAGTGTCTACGCGTCACCCCATTCAGTTGCTACAAACGACCCATGTCATCCGCATAACCTGTGCGTGACAGTAGAGCGCCAAACAAAACATCAACCCCAGGGGAAATGGGAGGAGACAGCAGAGAGCCATTCACAATTATTTCGACCCTTAACATGTAAAGAAATGGATAAACATAGCGGTCTTGATGTAATTCAGTTGTGGTTGCGAACACGGGGTTCTCCTATATACTCTTACACAACTACGGGAGTTGTGGTAGATATTTCAGGATAGAAAGTTCCAAAGTAGGTCAGTTGGTGGACAAGATGATATCAACAAGGCAGTCGAGGACAGTGCAAACATTGAGGCGCAGCTATTGTGAATGTGTGAATCAGAGACTGTAAACAGAAGCTGTAGGTACCAAGTGAATGCTGTCTGGTTTGAACCAGTGGTGATTACAGCGGTCACAGCGAATGATTAACAACGAAATTTGCAAGTTGGTGTTTAGCGACAGTTCTGGTGCTGCAACGGACAGATAGACTTAAAGCGTGTCGTATCTACAATGTCTATGAAACGAGTGCCCAGTGGCTTACCGGAAGAAACAGTTGGGTTGGCACCCGTCATCTTTCCAAAAAGGCAAAAGTTAACTGTTGGTTCGTCGCAGCAGCTCACAAACGCGACAATCTGAGCACTAATCCGGGAAAGCGCCATACGATCGTTTCGCTTTAGTGGGACTAGTCAGTGGTACGCATTCCCTCGGTCCCCTGCGGGGAACCGAACCCATGGCCACTGGCAGCGACTTATGCCACCGAGCTACGCAGGACGGTGGCTGACTGTCGCAATTTGCAAGCTCGAAGGGGTCTAAAGAGCGTAGTGGCATGGCGAAGACACGCGTGGGCAGGGACGCAAGTGCGTTAATTCCATTCGTTTAATCCCACCCTTCTTTGTAATGACGACAAGAGTCCTGTTTAGCCGTGTGCTGATCGGTCGAGGTCGTCGGATGTTCGTTCTGAAAAAATGGTTGAAAGTATGTAACAAGAGTACTGGATTGAATTCCATGTGAAGCTAGGTAATTCCCGAGTGGAAACTATCCGAAAGACGCAAGACGCCTTCGGTGACGTAGCAATGAGCACCACACGGATAGAAGAATGGTACAACCGTTTCAAAGAAAGTCGCACATCAGTGGAGAGTGGAGCACGGTCTGGTAGGATAGTGACAGCGGGAAATTAGATTTCCATTGGCAAATGAAAAGGTACATGATTGCTGAAACACAATCCGAGAAGTTGCAAAGTGATGATCATTAGCATTGGATCCGCTCCTGCTATTTTGACTGAAAATGTCAAACTCAAGAGAATCTCTGCGAAGTGCGTTCTATAGCTGTTAACGACAGAACAGAAGGAACTCCGTTTGGAGATCGCATAGGAAGTGCAGGAGATTTGAAAAGTATAGTGAGAAGATGAAGTTCGGCAGATGCATGCATTTTGTATCGTGTCATCGGTGCCGATAATGATAAGTGATAATTATATACAAGAGTTTGAGGCTGTCAACATACAGAAAAACGAGAGGAAAGGCGGGTGTCCAGACTCTACAGCCAGGGCAGCCTGAGAGTGACTGATAATTGCTTTAGAGCACAAAGCGCTGGTTTAATCCGAACGGAAGGGACCGGGAAGTGGCATGGCGCAGCAGGATCCTGAGCGCCTTGGGACCTCAATTTGGTGACCTGAGGTCAACAAGTATATCCTGGCAGATGCCGGGGGCTTGCGTAAACAGTCTGACTTGGGCTTGCTTGTTGCACAGTCTCGTGTTGAACCCATCTTGGCACGTGCTCCTTCATTCGGGAACTCAGGGTTCTATCGGTCCTGCTTAGGTAACTAGGTCCGCACTTACACAGAGACTGGTACACGCAATGGGAGTTGGTCCCAAAAGGCGTGCTTCAGTGGCAGATTTTGAGTTCGGTCGATGGTTGCAACTTCGGCAACGCAGAAAGTGCTCTGTGTGGCAGAAATCAGACGTTTTGTAGTTCTCAGTGCAGCAGTCTCACTGTTAAAAAGCAGGTTAAAGAATACAATTTTCTTACGTACGGTGGGAACAGCATCCCTTACTTCACGGATTTGGTAGTGCTGCTGAGTTTCCGAGGATAGACATTTACCAGTAGCGTGCTGGTAACTCTAGTTCGCCTGCCAAACAATCGGTGAATAATGTTCGTCTAGCATGACTAAATAGGGTTTCCATAAGCGTCCGATTGTCCGAATTGGCATGACACTTGTAAAATGCAGATACTGACGAGACTACGTTGTATTTTGTAGACATGCTTTTGTACCTGACCGTTCTCCCTGCGGTTGATGAGAAGATCCAACAGTGGTCCCAACTTCCTTCACACAGTAAACGCGGGTAACATGGGTTTATGGATACGATTCAAAAATTGGGTTTCAGTCATCATAATGGAGGCAGTATCCATCATCCCCGAGGGCTAGAAACGGATAACGGTTACGCAGCAATGCCAAAGACACGCTGACAGTTACTGTTGATTCCAGGGGCGTGGTTTATCATGAGTACGCACGACACCGCATAATTATAATTCAGGTGCATTATCGAGAGGTTCGGTGTCGCCTTCGTGACGCTGTGACACGCAAACGCTCTATAGGCAACGGGCAATTGGCACTTCCATCGCGATAGCGCACCAGTACAGTTTTCACATTTGGTAAGGAGTTTACTGGCTATACACAACATAGCAGGGCTTCGACAGGTCCCCTACTTCCGGTATGTCTCCAGGTGACTTTTGGCTGTTTCCAAGACTGGAAATGCCCCTCAAAGGGAGCAGATTTCACTCCCGAAAAGAGATAGTGCAACACGTGCTATCTCAAAGAAAAAACATTTCAATATTGTCCCTCGTAGTGGCAGAATGTCGAGAGAAATGTATGACAGCCTAAAGAGAGTAAATTGAAGGAGACTAAGGTAAGATCTTTGAACAGCCCAATTTCATTTAATGAGTGCCTCCGTGTACAACTGCGGATTGTTCGGACATTTCCTTGATCAGAAAGTGTCGTGGAATTCGGCAGATATAGCCGAAGGTAATAAAAACCACAGCCAAGATGATGAAAGCAAGTAGACGCAAGCGGGGGGGGGGGTCAATCGGCCTGCGTTCCGCTC